ACATGGCTTTTATAAGGGATTTTTGAATCAAACTTTTTTGAGAAATAATTTACAGGATCTGAGATCGGGAAGGGGTAAATTTTTAAGTGTAAAAAACAGTTAATGATTTTCGACAAAACTAAGTCCAATGGATAAAAGTTATAGCAAAATTGTAGGTAATAGAAAGATCTACAACTTTTGTGTTTTCATTTTTACCATATAACCTCAAAATGTATGCGAAAAATACAAATAACCGTGTTTTTGGTTTTATTTTCTCATAATTTTTTTTTACGAAATTTGGTAATAATTACCTTTTTATGTCGCAAACACAATGTAATTTTTTATTTAAAATATTTATTTTTTTCCCTTAATATGATTTAATATCGAAAAACTACCCTAATTTTTAATCGAAAACTTTCACGTAAAAATTTTAGCATTTTTAAATGAACCGGTATACGTTTTGTTCTTGTTTTTCTAAAAATATGGACTTTCTGATAGTATAAAAAAAAAGATACATTGCTACAGCGAATTTTCTCAAAAAAAAACGAAAAAACTCGATCGAATTTTTTAATGTAATGTAAAATTATGTGTAATTTTAATTATGTATGTTTTAAGTATGTTTTAATTCGAAGGAAGCGATGTTAACAGGTGAATTATTTGAAACTGTGTATTAGCAAATTACGAATGCATCTGAATCAAAAATGACATTTAATAAAGCTCCAACTAGCAGTTTTAAATAGTCAATTTTTTGCAAATTTTCGCTGTTTTTTTTTTAATTTTTAATATATTTCGTTAATAACGTTGAATTTACGTATTTTTCTGCGTTATCTAACTGCCCCTCGAACTACCTCGGCCCACTACCTAACTAACCCCATGTACCTGCTGCCCCATCGCCGAGAAAGTTGGGGATTAAGTCTTAATGACAGGAAATTCTAAACTTGATTAAAGTTGAAATCAAGAATATAAATATTTGTATAATATTATAATTATTCATATTCATATAATATTATAGTATATCATAGTTATTCACTTCAGTTGCAAGTGTTACGGAATAGTTTTGTCCGTCAGTGTTTAACTTTTAAATGGCAAATCCAACGACTACGTTTAGTCATTGATTATAAACCACTACCTAGTGGTTTATAATCAATGGTTTAGTCAAAGGGGAGAACTTTTATTAATAATTAGTGAATATAAATATTCAGAGACCCATGTCTGCAAAGATGGAAAAGTTTGATGGCGATGCATCAAAAAAATGTGTTAACAAAAAGTGTACACAAAGGAAGGTGATGAAAATTACGTTATTCTTGAAAAAGCATCGGTGGAGCATAATCGTGCTCCAGATATCCACGTTGACCGGCAAATTTTTAGTAATTCTACAAAGGGGAAAGCTGTAGAAGATATATGTGAAATACCTTCTTTAAAGATTGTCCACAAAGAATTGAGGAAGGAAACTTTCAGCAATTTACCACTGACGGCGAAAAACACTTCTTGCGTTCGAAGAAATATCTATGCTGCAAAACGAAAATCCACACTATCATTGTCCAAGTCACAGGAAGAAGTGTTAGTGAACTTAAATTTAAAAACAAATACAGGTGAAAACCTTTTTTTATCTACGAAAAATAATTTCGCAATTTTTAGTTGTTTCACAAATCTTTACATTTTGTGTAATGTAGATTCTTTGTATAAAGATAGAACTTCTCAATACTGTTCTAAATATTGTGGCAAGAAACTCAAAACTACCGCTTTAGATAATCGTTTTATATGAGTCAACGCTTTGCTAGATCGCCATTAAGTCATTTAAGGGGTTCGAGGCAATAATTTAAGTGTATTTGCAGTTCTTCGAAGATTACATGAATTTGGTTTGCAAAGTTGCAGACTAGTAACTGGGCCCAAATTGCTTCCAAGGAACAGAGTGGCTAAACTGCAATTTTCCAGGGAACATTTACATTTGAATTTAGGACAATGGAGTAATGTTCATTTTACGAATGAGTCGAGATACTGTCTTCATTCCTCAGATGAGAGAGAACGAGTATGGCGTCGATCTGGAGAGAGATTTGCGAAGTGCGCTTTCAGTCGACGCGCTAACTATGTAGAGGGTTCGGTGATAGTAGGAGCAGGAATATCCCGAGAGACAAAACATATAGACCATAGGGACTTACGAATAATAACAAACCTCTACTGGAATCAAAGTGCACAAATCGTATGAGATAAAGCACCCAGTCCAGAAATTGAAATCAGAATAGGAGTTAGGCAGGGATGTATTATGTCCCCATTACTATTTAATGTACATACATAGTGAATACTTTTTGAAGAAGCATTACTATCTCAAAGTGAAAGAATAATAATTAACGGAAGATCTATTAAAAACATAAGATGTGCAGATGACACCGTCATTATGGCAAGCTCTGCTGAATAAGTCCAATTACTGCTAAACAAAACAAACAGTTTATGTGAAAAATATGGACTAAAAATGAATATAAAGAAGACCAAATACATGATAATAACAAAGAAAACAAATATACTTTTGGGAAGTGTACCTATAGAAAGGGTTGATAAATACAAATACCTAGGAACCTGGATTTCAGACAATAATAATCAAACAAACGAAATAAGAGCCGGGATAGAAATAGCAAGAAATGCGTTTGTAAAAATGAAAAGAAAACAATTCTCTGCAACCAAGACCCTAGATTAAAACTGCGAGTAAGAGCACTGAGATTCTACGTGTTTTCGATACTGCAATATGGACTTTATGGACACTTTTAACTTACATAAAAAGATAAAGGAACTGACAGGTACACAAAAACGAAAACATCCCAATCTCCTATGCAACGCAAATGGTGAAATAATAGCCGATCTACAAGAAAAGCTTAGGACCTGGAAGAAATATGTAGAAGAATTGTTCGACGATGAAAGACAAGAACCTAATATAGATAACTTGCAAGGCGACGAAGGACCAGAAATAACTAAAGAAGAACTATTATACGCTATAAAAATAATGAAAAATGGTAAATCACCGGGTCGAGACGGGCTCACATCAGAACTTCTTAAGCTTGTGAAACGCGAATCAGTGAATATTCTACTCGACCTTTTTAACTGCATCTACAAAAGAGGAGAAATACCACAGGAATGGCTACTTTCAACTTTTGTAACCTTACCAAAAAGGGCAAATGCAAAACAGTGCACTGACTACCGCACAATAAGCTTAATGGGGCATACATTAAAAGTATTCATCAAAGTAATCCACTCAAGAATTAACAGAAAACTAGATGCAGATATTAGTAATACTCAATTCGGATTTCGGAACGGGCTTGAAACAAGAGAAACACTATTTGCACTTAACGTCATATGCGAAAGATGTCTAGATATAAACCAAGATAAATATATGTGCTTTATTGATTACAACAAAGCGTTTGATAAAGTTCGTCACGATCACTTAATGAAACTGCTAGTAGAAAAAAACTTGGATAAAAGGGACATTAGAATTATCTCTAAGATTTACTATAACCAGAAAGCAAATATCCGAATAGAGCAAGAGACATCGGAGGAAATCGAGATCAAGAAAGGCGTAAGACAGGGTTGTATACTCTCACCGACCTTATTCAATCTATACTCCGAAGACATTATAAACACAGCACTTTCGGATCAAAATATAGGTATTAAGATAAATGGCATCCGAATAAACAACTTGAGATATGCCGATGACACGGTACTAATCGCAGAAACTTGGGAAGATCTTCAAATACTAATTAACAAAATAGTAGAATGCAGTGAAGAACACGAATTATCACTTAACATAAGCAAAACAAAAATAATGCTAATATCTAAATCACCACAAAACTTCCCTGACATAACCGTGCATGATCAAAAAATCGAACGTGTAAGAAGATATAATTACCTGGGAACTGTTATCAACGAAAATAATGATTGCTCTGAAGAAATCAGAACCAGAATAGAGAAAGCTAGAGCCACATTTACTAAATTGAAAAAGGTGTTCTGCGGAAGAGATCTAAGTCTAAAACTTAAAATTCGCCTTTTGAGATGTTACGTTATGTCAGTTCTCCTCTACGGATGGAAACATGGACATTGAAAAAGATCGATACCAAAAAGATAGAAGCATTTGAGTTGTGGATGTATCGTAGAATATTAAGAATACCCTGGACAGAGAAAGTAACCAATGTGGAGGTTTTGCGGAGAGTGCGGAAAGAGAAAGAGCTGATACTTACTGTTAAAAAGCGCAAACTACAATATTTGGGACATGTTATGAGGGGAGATAAATACCAGTTGCTGCAATTGATTATACAGGGAAAGCTAATGGGAAAGAGATCTATAGGAAGAAGAAGGCATTCATGGTTGAAAAACTTGAGAGAATGGTACAATTGCACCAATTACCAACTGTTTAGATCTGCAGCATCAAAAATACGCATAGCTTTGATGATAGCCAAACTTCGGAACGAAGACGGCACTTGAAGAAGAAGAAGAATATGGACTTGAAAGCTGGACATTGAAGCAAGAACACATAAATAAGTTACAGTCCTTTGCAATGTGGTATTACAGGAGGATGCTTAGAGAAATGGGCAAAGAAGGCGAAATAATAAACGCAATAAAAATAGGAAAATTACAATATCTAAGACACGTAATGAGAGGACAGCGATATGAACTGCTAAGGCTGATAATACTGGGAAAGATAAGAGGAGGAAGGAGTATAGAAAGAAGGAGAGTGTTATGGTTGAAGAATTTAAGGGACTGGTTTAAATGCAGTTCTATAGAACTCTTCAGAGCAGTAGTAGATAGAGTAAAGATAGTGATGATGATATTCTACCTACGATTGGGAGACGGCACTTAAAGAAAAAGAAGAAATTAAAATTTATAAATTTTTACACAGTGTCCTAAGAATTTGACCAAAATTTTCTCCGCTGCGTTTTTTTGCATCTGAGTGTATATAGGTCTTTTGTATATTTGTTTACATATTTTTAAATACAAACATTAATATTAGCCGATACATAATCATTTTGTAGGTCACACTACTTATTTTGGTGTTGTTTTGAATCAGTGTGCATTTGACTAAAAATGGTAATAAATAATTAATATAACAAAATATTTTCAGTGTATGCATAGTTTTGCTATTTCTGCAAGTTTTATAATACAATTCTTAAAAAATTCAGATCAAACGTCTGTAGTAATGTAAATATTTGTTTAAAAATAAATATGTATAAATAAAAACTTACTGTGCCACGAATTAGAACAAACAAATTTACCTTCCAGTGGGATGAACTCTATTTCTCACTCCCGGCGACGCGGTAACTAGGACACTTGTGGTACTTCTATTCAAAAACGACGCGTAATCATCGTGAACGCGTCGTTGTTTCTCTCCGCCGACACCGCGACGTTTCTCGCTATTCTCCGTAGGTCGACTGAAAGCGCTGAAATCGCTGAAGCGACTGAAAGTTTTGTGATTCTGCCGGCGTAAAGGAGGCGCTTCGAGATCTCTAGAGGCTGCTGTTGATGATCGCTGAGGCGCTGTGGGAGAATCGCTGGTGGAGGTGCCATCTTTGGAAGGAAGGGTGAAACGGACCCGGCGAGGCTACAAAGATAATTTAACCAACAGTTAATTTTCTTCGCTGTAATTGGTAATCAAAATATTTTTTTTAAAATAGACTATTAAATAAAAGAATAGTTTCCGTAAAAAACAATATTTACATGAGCGTGATTGCTTGTCTTCTGAAGAGGGTTTTGGATGCTTATGAAGTTATGAGAAAAAGGGTCCAAAATTTCATTTTCTATAATATCCGTACTGGTCAGGCCGTGGAGTTGGGGCTCCTATATTGTAAAAAATGACATGCACTCTTCCCTCCATGCTATGGCATGCTGAACGAGTTATACAGTCGGTAGTCGCCTATGAAACGCACCTGGCGCATCATAAGGAATTTCACATTTCACTCTTTTTCAAATTGTCTTGAGTGAAATGTCTTTAATCTTTCCTATCGGCCTCTCTTGGCTAACTCTTGTTTCTTCCCACCCCGAATGGCTATTAGGTTTCTGAGGGCAGATGGGTCACTATATTTTCTTCTATTACACACTCTAGGAAGGCAACGGGAAACCACCAAGAGCCTAATTTTCCCAAGAAACAATCATGGAAATGGCTGATAAATACAACGGCCTCGAGTACAGACGCTCCTTAAATGGAGCAGAGGTGCTAAGAATCTCCCGTCCATCTAGAAACATGAACACATTTTCTAAAGAAAGAAAAATAGGTACATGGAATGTAAAAAGCATGTACGAACCAGGAAAAATTCATACCACCAAGAAATGAAGCGTCTAAATATAAGTATCCTTGGAATAAGTCAAATGAGATGGCCAGGGTCTGGAAAAGTAACTGTAGATAATCACATTGTATACTATTCAGGAGAAGACAGCTCAAAACACAAAAATGTTGTAGCAATAATTGTGTCGAAGGAAACAGATGAAGCTATAAAAAAACGTCGTCCTATTCTCAGACAGGATACTGATGATACAAATACAATCAACAACAATCAATGTGAACATATTACAAGTATATGCACCCACACAAGACTATGGACAAGAAGAAATTGATAAATTCTATCATGATTTAGAAAAAGTATTAGCACCTACAAAGAAACACGATCTCAATATTATTATGGGAGATTTTAATGCAAAGATTGGTAAAGGTGAACAGGAAGATATCATAGGAAAATATGGTCTGGGAATACGAAATGAAAGACGAGATATGTTGGCATCTTTTTGCGTAGAAAAGCAATTAGTAATAAACACAATTTTCAAACTTCCAAAACGTCGTCTTTACACCTGGAAATCACCAGCAGATACACCTGAATGAATTGTTCGTAACCAAATAGACCATTCATATGTATAAATCAGAGATACAGTAATTCATTATTAGCAGTAAAAACATATCCAGGCACAGATGTACCAACAGGTCACAATATTTTAATAGGAAAAATAGAACTGAGATTAAAAAGAGTTACAAGGACGAATAAACACTTACTATTGATAGAGAAAAGATGTTAAACGATACTGTAAGATAAGAAATAACTAGTACATTAGAACAAAAAATGAAGTTAACATCAAGCAAAGAGGAAAGTACTGAGAAAAACTGGACGAGAATTATCATCATAGAGACATCTTAATTAAAGACATCTAAAAAAACAAGGGTGGATGACAGAAGAAATACTGAGACTTATGGATCAAAGAAGAGAAGTCATAAATAAAGATAAAAACGAATACAAGAGGATCCATGCAATAATCAGGCAGAAGATAAGACACGCGAAAACACAATTTCATAGTAAAGAATATAATGAAATTCAACAATATGAAAAGAAACACGATACATTTCATCTGCACAAATAATTAAAAGGCGACGCTGGAAACAAACAGTTAAAAGAATGGAAAAACTACATTTTTGAATTATTTGAGGATGAGATAGTAGAACACGATACACCGATTGCTATATCAGATCTATCTATAACAGAAAGTGAGGTAACACGTTCAATATAAACGGCAAAAAATGGAAAAGCACTTGGCCTCGATGAAGTAAGTGCTGAAATACTAAAGTTTTTGGGAGACAATGGAATTAGCTCTGTGTAATCTCTTTAACAGAATTTATGACACTGGAATATTACCAACTACCTAAGATATACCTAAGAAACATCGTCCAAAGACATGCGGTGATTATCAGACAATAACTCTGATGAGTCACGTTTTGAAGATCTTCCTGCGAGTAATACATAGCAGAATTTATAAGCTGTTAGAGGACAGAATTAGCAATACTCAATTTGGGTTTAGGAGTGGCTTGGGTACAAGAGAGGTCTTGTGCAATCGATTTTGAAAAGGCTTTTGACAAAGTCCGACATAACAAAATGCTAGAAATATTGGAAACAGCTGGATTGGACGATAAAGATCTACGAATAATTACAAATCTATACTGGCATCAAGTGGCAAGAATAAAGGCTGCACAAGAACTGTCAGATGAAATAAATATAAAAAGAGGAGTGAGACAAGGCTGTATATTGTTGCCTTTACTTTTTAACTTATATTCGGAGGAAATAGTGAAGGAAGCCTTAATGGAGACAACCGAAGGTAATATTGTGAATGGAGTAACCGTCAACAATATTAGATATGCCGACGATACCTTAGTGCTTGCTAATTGCGGAGAAGACCTTCAAAATCTAATGAACAAAATAAAACAGACTTGTAATCAGTATGGATTAAAACTCAACGTTAAGAAAAATAAATATATGATAGTTAGCAAACAAAATTATATACAGGATGATGGTATCTCGGTAGTAATATTAATGAGAGCTGGGATCCAACCGCAGAAATGAAAAGCAGAATAGAACAAGCACGAGCTGCCTTTGTAAAAATGAGAAACGTATTTTGCGGCCACAATCTTAGCATTGACCTTAGAGTTCGGATGACATCTTGCTACATCTTTCCTGTCCTGCTAGAGGCGCCATCTGTTACACATTAGAGAAACAACCCAGACAGCACAAGACATCCTGGGAACGTCCATTTTATGCAATTTTAAGGTCCAAATGTCCTAGGACTTCTTTTGGACGTCCGAGGGACATACCAGGGACGTCCCATAAGGTCGTCCGAGGGACGTCCCATTAGGGATGTTTTCTAGATGTTAACTTTTTAATTTTTTTACTTGTTGTCATGAAAGAAAAATGTGGTTATGTTTTAACGACGCTTCTATTTATCTCCTTGTATTTATGTTTCTTTTTAACGCATTTTTATTTTTAGCTAGCATTTTCGGAATCATTTATTTCTCGAATTATAATCATTGTGGTTGTGGTTGTAATTAGAATTAGTTTATTGCTTTCGATACTAGTTTATAGTTTGGTAATTTATTATTATAGACAGTAAGTGGGTATATAAGAATTTTATAGGTTATTTTTGTGGTTGTGGTGTGAGTTTCTACATTTGTAAAGTAAGTATGAGTAGTGTACTTAAAAATAAATAAAAATCCCATTTAGTTTTGCTTTTCATTTTATTAGTTTTTTGTAAGTTCCCTTTAGGTCCTGTATACATCCTCATTTAGGTCTTGTATTAGTCCATGTGGACGTACAATGGATGTCCCCAATACATCCCTCTTAGGTTCTATATAAGTCCGTATTAAGTTCTGTATATGTACTATGTACGTCTCCGTAAACATCCCTGGGACGTCCAGGGGACCTACTTTTTGGTAACATTTAGGTCTTATTGGACGTCCCGGGGACGTCCAAATTATGTAAACGGATGTCTCTGAGATGCCCAGACATTTAATGAGGAACATCCTTCAGACGTCCATAGGACGTATTTGTGCTGTCTGGGAAGAGACAATTTGTCAACAAACTCCTTTAGTCAACTAGCCCCGGTCTCTCCTACTTAAAAACTGTTGGGAAAAATTGTTTAAATTTTTTTTCTATTAGTGAAACATTAAAATTAAATAGCTGTGGAACTGAAAAGGAGGCTGTTGTTAAATGACAGATGTTTGTATCATTAAAATAAATCCCATGCCATGAGTGAATATTACCAAATATGAGGGTGGATTGTTTTCACTATATTTCATTCCAAGTTAAGAAAATAACATTACGCTCATGGAGATCAGTGTTGCCAAAACTCTCAAGAATACATTGCAATTAGATTGTCGATATACGATTCATTCTAATCAGAACCACAGTATTTTAAATAAAATATTGTGTAAAGTCGGTATAAGAACTAAAGAACCACAAAATTATCATTATGTAGTCTCAGAGAACGACATAAAATCGCTGACATACGCACACCGTATTATTTTAAATTGCAATTAGTAATTTGATATATTGTTGCTATTAATGCAAAATGTCATATGTTTAAAAATACACTTTTCAGGAGACAAAAAACTGAATAATATTTACTGTGTGAGTTGTGTTTTTCTTCCAAATTAGAAGATATAGATATTGTTACGATTTTAAATGTTAGCGTATAGAACTGTAAATATTTTATGAATAATTCTTTTTTATTGATTCTCATAATTTCTAGGTCAAAAATCTACCTGACACCCTTTGGGTTCCCTTCGCTAAACAAACAACAATCGAACTTTCTGGGGACGAGCCGATGAAAAACATACCAGTTTTGAGACCAGTTGCCGCTGTGTCTACGTCGAGAATGGCATCGTATTTTCTACAACATTATGTTTACCAGCTGGTTTCATATAAATAACGGAAGATTTTCATTGAGCAGGCAGTCAAAAAGAATATCGCGATCTCGCGTTAAATTGTAACGAATGAAAATAAATTATTTGTATTTATTAAGTGTAAAATAAATTAGTATAAAATAAAGACTTTTGATAAATTGTGAGTTTTAATAAAATAGAATAAAGACAATAAATTAGAATAAAGACAACAAATTAGGACTAATAAAAACATTATAATATGTATTATTGTCCTTTGTTTTTAAGTATATCTTCTAATTTGGAGAAAAACACTACTCACACAGCAAATATTATTCAGTTTTTTTTGTCTCCTGAAAAGTGCATTTTTTAACATATGACATTTTTCATTAACAGCAACAAAATGATTTCCAAGCGGTCCGTTTATTTGCTTTTAAATATTTAATAGCCGGCAAAATTCACGATTTAACTAATAAGCAATATTTTCTACTCATTTCTATGATTCATGGTATATGGTACTCTTACCGAAAAACAAATAAACTGTCGTTACTATAATTAAAACTAAGATAAAACTAATTATTACTAAGATAAAATAAAATTATTTTTTGTAAATACTATTTATTTAATTAAAATCATTTTCCGTACTTTTCATCTCTTGTTTCGAATGGGCACTTTTGGTCAATTACATTAAAAAACATTAATTTAATTCATGCCTGTGGAAACGAAAATACAAATTATACAATCCTAAATCATGCTGGTGTTTGACGTGGCATCGTCGCGGTTCTATCGTCCATAAGAAATACATGGCCCTATCTCCGCGATGTTATTTTCTTAACGTGGAACGCTTTATAGCAAACCCTGTATAAGTCCATATTATGACTTAGCGGATATCTGTATGCATATGTTGGAACTTTTTTAGTGTATATTTCCAAGTTTGATACATATCAAGATCAAATTATGTTCTTGTCAACTTTAAAAAAGTCACGTTCTTACTATAAAGTTAGAATTTTCTTATCTTTAAGAACTAAACTTACTGATCGATAAATCTGATGAGTAGTATCAAGCGAAGTGTGTAAATTGCCACTTGATTTCTTGTTGTTTCGTCTGGGAATTGTTTCTGGTTGATATTGCGTGGTGGTTGGTCTCTGGGGTCTTCGGTTAGGACCGACTCCGGCACCGGTCTTGACATCAATTGCCCTATATTGCAGAGATGGAAGTTCAGCAACCCTTTTTGGGGCTTTTGACGAGGGAGAGACGCCCGCCTGGAAAAATACAATTTGTAAAGCTAATTGGCCTGTTTCTGGACTATTTTTATACCCTTACATTTTGAAGAAAACAAAATATTATGCATATAAACTGGCATTTGACATCCAGATATTTTTGTAAAAATTTAAAAAAGGAAGATATAAAAAATAAGCTATAGGGAGGATATATAAAAAGATAATATAAAAATAATATAACTAACTGTAGTTAAGTGTTTATTAACTAACTAATTTATTTTTTCTAAAAAATGGCTTTGACTGAGCCAATTAGGCAGACTTGTTTGTGTTTATTGTTGAAATCGACTAAATTTTAATTATTATTGATTGCAAATTGATAGTCAAAATTTTCTTGTTATCAGTTATCAATTTTAGTACTATAACATTGATAACTATTTGATGATAGCTGATTTTTGCACTTCTTCTTCTTCAAGTTCCACTCCTATCGGAGATTGGAAATCAATCTGGCAATTATAATTTTGTTGGTTACGCGCCTGAATAGTTCAATTGAACTGCATCCAAACCATTCACGGAGATTGCGTAGCCACGAGATTTTACGTCTTCCTACGCTTCTTCTACCTTTGATTTTACCCTGCATTATATTCCTTGGTATTTCGTATTTTTCACCTCTCATGATATTCCCCAAGTATTCCAATTTTCTGATTTTTATGGAATTTAAAACTTCGTATTGTTTTCCTAGTTGTTCGAGAACTTGTTCGTTTGTTTTGCGATCCATCCATGATATTTTCAAAATAAGTCTGTAACACCACATTTCGAATGCTTCTAGGTTTTTAATGTTGGATTTTTCAAGTGTCCAAGCTTTAACTCCATAAAAAAGGGTAGAGAGAATATAACATCGAAGCATTATTATCAGGAGCGATATATTAACATCGCGATTACAAAAAAGTTTTCTGATTCTATTAAAAGTTGACCGTGCAATTTCAATACGGCATCTTATTTCTTTTGTACGATCAGCATCTTCTGTGATCCATGCTCCAAGGTATTTGTACGAAGATATTTGTTCAATTTCTGTATTATCTAGTACTAGCCTAACTTTGATGTTTTGTGCTTTTGTAAATACCATGAACTTGGTTTTCTTCAAATTTATTTTTAGTCCATAATCGTTGCAATATATATTTAGTTGTTCAGCAAGGTGTTACAGTTCTTCTAGTGTTCCTGCCAGAAGGACGGTGTCGTCAGCATATCTTAAGTGGCTCACCCTTTATTATAAGGCCCTCACTGATCTCGGCAAGCGCTAATTCTGAGATGGCTTCACTGTATAAATTGAATAACAAGGGTGATAAAATACACTCTTGGCGGACCCCACGGCGAATCTGGATATCCTCGGTCAGTTTGTTTTCAACTTTCACTTTTGCTGTTTGATTCCAATAGAGGTTACAGATGATTCTAATGTCCCTACTGTCTATGTTTTTATTTAATAAAATTTCTTTAAGCCGATTATGCTGCACTCTGTGAAATTCCTTCTCAAATCAATGAAACAGGCATATACTTCCTGATTAATATCTAAGCATGTCTGCGAAAGAACACTTACTGCAAACAGTGCATCTCGTGTTCCCAGTCCTTTCCTAAATCCCATTTGTGTATTAATTATGCCTTCATCTAATTTCTTATGTATTCTATTGTGAATTACTTTTAAAAACAATTTCAAGACATGACTCATTAAGGCTATGGTGCGATGTTCATTGCACTCCTTTGCATTGGCTTTTTTGGGAAGCAATATGAATGTTGATTGGAGCCATTCTTTAGGTATTATACCTGTTCTATATATGGTATTGAATAGATCCAAAAGAAGATCAATAGATTCAGTATTCACAATTTTAAGTAATTCGATAGGAACTTCATCAGGCCCAGGAGATTTACCACATTTAGCTTGTTTCATTGCATATTCAATTTCTTCTCGTATAATGTCAGGCCCAGTATCCTCCTTAAATTCTTTTGGTGCTTCTGTTCTCCCTTTGTCTTCAAAAAGTTGTGCTATATATTGTGTCCATCTCTGCATTTTTTGGTTTATATCTGTTATAAGTGCACCACTTTCATCTCTTAGTTGCCTACTTTGAAGTGTTTTTCTCATTCCTGTTAATTCTCTAATTCTTTTATGTTAACAAAGTAATATTTTTTCTCAATTTCTTCTAGTTCTTGGCACTACTCATGTAACATTCTCTCCTTAGCTTCTTTTATTCTTTTTTTAATTAATCGATCAGTTTCATTAAATTTAATTGGATTTTTTGTTTTGAATGATTTTCTTTCATTCATTAATAGTAGTATTTCTTCAGTCATCCAGTCTTTATGTTTTCTATTCTTTGGTTTTAAGTTTTCATTTGCTGTTTTAATTATTGCTACTTTTACATTTTCCCATTTCTGATCAATGTTAGTTTTATTCAGTTCTTCGGCTACTTTTATTCAGTTCTTGGGCATTACGTAGATTTTCAGTAAGAGTTTTTACAGTGTGTTTACAATTTTTGCACTAATAAGTGTATATTTCTCTAAACTACACGATTAGTCAAAAACCGTATTTCTGCTTGTCTTCGACAAGGCTTCAAATAATGGAAGAAATTGCTTTTAACTATCAAGCTAGCAAAGCGGACCGTTGACTTAGTTAATTTTACTAATTTAGACTTAGATTTTACTAATATTGGAACCAGAAATAACTCCACTATTAAAAACCTGAATATTTATACACATTATTATCTACCAAATAATAAAATGAGATCCAGATCTAGTTTAAATATAAATAAACACCTATTAAATGCAGGTATCAATATTTACCAAATAATGAAATGAGAACCTGATTTTACTACTAGAAATTTTTAATACCGGAACCAAAAAAAACTGGACTATTAAAAACTAGAATATTTAGACACATTACAAATTACCAAATGATAAAATGAGAACCAGATCCAGTTTAAACATAAATAAACACTTGTAATAGATACAGGTATTAATATTTACAAAATAACAAATTGAGAACCTGATTTTACTACTAAAAATTTTTAATACCAGAACCAAAAAAACTCAACTATTAAAATTAAAAACTAGAATATTTAGACACCTTATTATTTACCAAATGATAAAATATCAACCAGATCCAGTTTAAACATCAATAATCACTTGTAAGAGATACAGGAATTAATATTTACCAAATAATAAAATAAGAACCTAATTTTATCGAATTTTGACTTAAACTTTTATTCCTTATCAAAAATAGTCGCAACTTCATGAAATATATTGTACACGTTTGATAAGAACTGTATTCATTTCATTCATTCAATGTAAGATTCAACTGTAAATACAAACCGAAATGAACTATAATCGATTCACAATTTGTCGATAGCTCACTACAAGTTTAACTCTAATTAGAGAACTGAAATACAGAGACGATAGTAATACGATAAAATAGTAAAAACCAACCTGAAACTGACGGTTTAAGATGTTTTCGACTAACCCACCTTGTATCTGAAGGAATACAATACAGCAGTCACTAAACTTCAGTTTATTTGAACTAAATAAATATATATTTTAAATTTTAAAAGAGAAAATATAGTATAATTTTTAATTGAAAATATTGCATGTAAAAGAAACTTTTTGTTTATTCTAATAAATACTTCAGCCTGCCTTTAAATTTTTCAAATTTGAAAAAATTTTTTTTTTAGTTTATCCATGTTTCATCCTTGTAAAAAATTGGCCTTCCTTCCACCCAGAATTTTCTGATATCTCCCACCGGAAATTTAATTCTTTTAAAACTTGCCACAATTTAGTTTGTCCGATATGAGGCAAATCCGGGTCGTCTCTAACTTCTTGTAAAATTTTGTTTACGTTTGGTATTTCTTTTTTGAAAAAAAAAAACCATGAATTTTCCTTCGAATACCATTTTTGGCAAATTCATCAATTTCAATAGGCTTTTTCCCTCTCTTTAAGTGTTCGTTTGTGTTTGGGTTAGCTATACCGTGTTTTTTTTCTTTCTGATAGGAACCTATATATAGTTGACTCCCCTACGCCAGTCATGTTGGCACAACTTTCGACTATGTGGCGAACAGTGATTGTGGTATTCTGAGAAACCAGAGCATCGTGAACATTCAGGACAATAGTCTTCTCTCTTGATAAATAGACAGACTTACTGACTGTACGCAACAGTACCGGTGTAAAACTTGATGATGTTGATGATGAAGCCATCACAAACAATCCAACAAAACGAGCACGAGCGAAAGGTACGTATATGTTCGTAGGTATATGGAATAAAAAATCACTCATGCACTGCATATAATTCGAAAAAGAAATATTCGAGACGCTAATTACTGCCGTAGACGCGGAAACATCGAGGAGCCGTAAATTACATGCGACTAAAAACGTACTAAACAAAAAATTGTTTTCGTTCGTAATAACTGCACCCTTTCAAAATTATTGTAAGGTTTTTTATTATGTATAGGACAACACAAACACTGTATACCACTTGGATATTATTTGTTATTCTTCTCTTCTGTATGGTCTGAAAAATCCGTAAAACAGAGCACTCTTCTTCGCGGTTTTCTTCTGTATAATCTAAATATTTATTTAAAACAGGACAATCGTTATTATTATGATGTTATTCTCGGTATTTTGGGCATTTGTGGTAATTGCAACATATCTTGCAACCTGGACAGAGTTTGTGATTATCGTGGTTAGCTTTATCTGTATTGCTATAACGGTCTTGCTCAGGAGGACTTTTTCGACATATGTGGAAAATAAAATTTTTAAAAAATATTTTTTTTTACCCTTTCAAGTTAAGTTTCGAATATAAACTGAACAGACGAGGCACGTAGCCAAAGCCAGCATCTTTATACCCCTTATATTATTAAAAATTTGGGGAATTTCATCCTAATTATCTTGCAGCGAATGGTACCTTCGGATATGAATTTCAGGTTTTCTAGTAAAGTGATTAAACGCGAAGATTAGTATTGAAATATTTAAAGAGACGAGGGTATTCTTATTTTCAAAATTGTTAATGG